GAGAGGGTAAGAGAGAAGCAAATTTTCTTATGCGGACTTATCTTCAAAACATAACTTTGTACTGAAATCAGAGCCGATAGCCTGTGTTGCTAGTGCTCAATGTCTCTTTTTTTAGTCTAAGAATTCAATTCATTAGTCTAAAATTAAAATAATAACAATAATAATAATACTGAAATCAGTAGCAAGGGGATGTGGCGACTGGCACGTTTGCGGCACTTCCCCAATATTTTGACAGCTTTGCAAATATCCTTAAGGAGATAAGCAGAACTTTATAAGATCCCCTTTTTTTTATTTTTTTCAGCAGTTAAAAGATTACACTATATTTTATTAAACACTAGATTTTATTAAAAACATACGGAGCTACTTTCAAATAGGAAATTACTATCTTGACAATAGACGCCTTCTTTTGGGTCACATAAAATAAAGCTAACAATTATTGATGGAAATAAGTTTGTTGATAGCTTTGTGAATTCATGACGAGTTTAATATAAATGACAAATGCTTAGTAAGGCGTGAAACGAAATTTGTTGAATCGCACTGCGGGATGTGTACCTTGCTTTATATGACATATCAAATTAAACTAAAAAAAAGTCTAGCTTTAGATTGCGTTAATGGCTTTTATATATCCTATATACATCCGCTCGTTCCTAACGTTACCAATTTCAAGTCGAACGTACGCAAACACTACTAGCTACCCTCTCCTTTATCTACAATTCCTTACGCCCACCGCCGTGCTTATGTGTTTAGAGGGCATCTCCTCATTTTCTGCACTAAAATGTAACAATAGTATGTAAAGACATACCCCGCTCAACACGGTATTTCTAAGGCACGGTCTCGATAAAACACCGTACAAAATTTGCGAACGATTTAAAAAAATCGAGTATGTTTTCTCGATTCAGTTTTGACTTGCTTTTATTTTGAGAAAAAAAAAAACCAAGTAGGTTATATTTGACCGCATTCCCACTATGCTGTTCGCATTCTACTCTCCAAGTTCTTTTGTTTGATACCCATATCGCTGGTATTATTATGGAAAAATTGATCCACAAGGACGCGATGTCTACATATTCATTTTAGAATTAACCCATTTTTAGGCAGATAAAGTATCTATACTCGAGGAGTATATAAAGTAGTTTTAAACATTCCGCCTTGTTTGCATTATAAGCATAAAACCTCGAAAAAATGAACAAAATAAAATGTAATCAATTGCAACCGTGTGAGGGCATGGCCGATTTTTTCCATTTTTGGACGTGAAGAGTAGAGTGCTTCGCAAACTAAATATGTCATATTTCAGGGTTCTAACTTTAACAATTTGCGAGTAATGAGCTAAAATCCAAAAATTTTTGTTTAAAAAAACGCAGTTGCGTTCAGCATTCGGTCCACTGCGCACTTCCGCTCCGAACTGACTTGGCCCATTTTCAGTACCAACCTGGGTGCAAAAACTTCCATTGTTTCTATCAAATTTGAAGTCGATGCCGCCATTCTTGCGACCAGGAGGAGTGCCGACAACATACACCGCACAGATGGACAGGCATCGCTTAACAATTTAGATGGTTGTGAATTCAAATCTCCAGTTCAGTAGAGTTTTCAAGAGAGCCGAGAGAATTGATTCCTCTGGCTAAATGAACAATAATAATAATATAGTTTTTTATTTATTTTTTATTCTACATTTGACAATGTAGAACAATTTTATACTGAAATTTTCATCATAATATTTAATGCATTAAAACTTGGTGTCGATACAACATGATGCACCTTCCATCAATTTATGTTACAGGCAATCTATTCTAGATGACATATTTCCTTAAAAAAAAAAAATACAAGTTTGTATACAGTACGCCTGTACATCTATATAAAATATTTATCTACGTATACGTAAGATATTTGTAATTGTATATAATTTGTTGATGGTTTTCGATAGCTAATCGCGTAAGCTTCATACAGTTTCCAGTTTGTATATTAATTATGCGGTTTTCTCGGGTAAGTTGTAGGCGAACTCTTTTTATAATTTTTTTAAATTTTATACCTGAACTGCTGCAATTTCAACACGCAACCGTAGCTAAATCACTTCCACGCTATGTCATTTCAGTTGGCAATATATAACGTGTAACGTATAAATATATATATATATATATATATATGTTCAAAACAAAAAAAACACGACAAGTGCAGTCAAATATGAAGATTGTATTTATTATTTTCTTCGATTGCAATGGCATGGCTCATCGTTAGTTCTTGCGTTAATTCTTGCGGTCAGTAAGGAATATTACCTTCAAGTTAGGTGAATTCATCTCATATAAACACTTAATGTTGTCTCTGGACCCCGGTTTCAAAGGTTACTCAGCATTTGATGAATCGAATACACGCCCTATAGAAACTATCTGCATGAATATTCATTAGCCTAGAAACGACGTAATTTATAGGTCAAAAATTAAATACACCTTCTATAAAGTACTTCTTGGACATGCTTGCTATTTGGGGGGGAATTAATTAATTAACATTATACAGAATATACTTCATTTTAGTTAGTATAGTTTTAATGTAAACCGTGAATGTCAACGGTTTGTCTTCATGCGTACGTTTAAGCTCTTGGACTTATTCTGCCCCTTTTTTTCCTTTTCGATTTGAACTTTGCGTTCTGCTTACTGCTTGAATTTTTAATTAAAACTAACATGTGTAAAATTTGATTATTCAATGTCGAAAGCGAATTACGGGAGAGGTTGGGCAGAGGCGAGAGAATTCGGAAACAGGCCAACCAGAAATGGAATAACGGAATAGAGCAATAGTGTACATATATGTATATATGTACAACTAGAATTCGTAAAGCAAGCACCGATCAAATACTTGTGAAATTGTAAAAATTTATAACATGCAACGGTATTCTATATATAAATGTTACAATGATTACATATGTCTACAATTATCGAAACGAATGCAATAATTCTCTCGATCTTGTTGTTGTGTTTGTATTCCAAAAAACAAACTTCAGAAGCCTTAGGGATTATATTTGCACACATTCGGAACCTGATAACAACGCAAAAAAATACTTTTCAAACAATAAACATATATAATATAATAAAATATATATATGTGTATATAGCGTCATCTAATCTAACGACAAATAATGTGCATAAGTGCTGCATGTAGATCCCATTGACGAATATTTACTTCCACGACATCATATTATATGCACGTAATAATGTTTTAAATTTTTAACTTAACTAAGAGTAGAAAAGAATAAATTTTGCTACATTTTTCACATATATATCTGTATATATATTAGGTGTACACACGAGTTTTTCATACAAATTTTGAGATTTTATTGCACAAAAATGTTAAAACATTCCTTACTCAGCGTTTTTCCTTCTCGCTAGCCGTTACTTTTCTCGATCTTTCTGACTGAATACAATGTTCGCCTCGAAAAGACATCTGAGCTTTTGAATCCAGAAAAGAAAGCATTGTTTGGGTAAAACGATTAGAAAAGAAATATAGATGAAAAACTAATAGATTAATGGAGGACAATTGGGCTTTTGAGGCCGTCCGCAGAGGATTACAACTAATAGATTGACACTCTTCTTGCAGAGAGGTCAATTGGGCTTTTAAAGCAGCCCGTAGAGGATTATATTTTGCGAATGTCTTCTTAAGAACGAAATAAGAATCGACATTGAGTGAGTCGTCGATTGAAACTCGATTATTTATCGCAAAGAGCAATTTCTTATGGAAGCGATAAGACAACAGAATCCCAATTAGTACTATAAACATTTGTTGTACGAGATTTGTGAATTGAAAGCAGGCGTCTCGCGCCGGGAAGTCAATCTATAATGTTTTTTTCGTAAACTACAACAAGCCTTTGCACTTTAACGATCAGCGAAATTGCAACGGATGGCGTTGGTAGCGTTTCTCAGCGTTACACTCGGACCCGTCTTTAACGCCCACGCTGATTGTTCGGTTGGTACTGCGTAATATCCATGCATCCATGTTTGTGCTTTGAAGATCATAATGCATCCTTCATCGCTCGTTGCAACGCTATACTTCGAAGCGAACAAGAAATGTAAAACTTTTCGTGCTTAGTCTTCTTTTAGACAAAACTCCAATTTAATCAAAACTTGAATCTAACGATTTTTTGTTGGGTATATTGGATCTTTGCGATTTTATGCTTGCAATGGCCCTCTATTGCAAATCCTTTAAAATTTACTTTTACCCCCAATTATATACAAGTGCAGAAAGAATAAAACAGTTTCTACACAAATACATTTATCAAAAAAATAAATAAATAAATAAAAGCTAGCTAATCATATTGGTGTTAAACAAAGAAGAAGGGCTTTGTTGGCACTTTTAATACTAACAAATTATTAATTCGACAACGAAGAGAGCAATAATCGATGAACACAAAAAAAATAAATAAAAAGCGTAACAGAAAAAAAGAACAAAATTACTATAAATTCAATAGTTCGAAGGTATAACAACAAGGTACCGCAAACGACGGCTACGTGTTAAAATCAAGTCGAGGCTGGAAAATTTGAAATATTAAAAAACACCGATCAATTGTTTACATTTACCATAACGTGAGTTGACAAAAAAAATAAATAAATAAAAATTAAAGAGAAAATTATATGCAATTCCCGTCTTTGCTTCTCTATTTAAACATTTTGTGCGATAGTTCAACTTACTATACGGCCATTAACCTAAAAAAAAGTAAAAACCCAGATAAAGAACTCTGTCAATTTATGAAAATTTTATTCATGGGAAACGTGTCGCATTCGGATAAAAAAAAATTTATTGAAATTTTAAATACCTGTGTAAGAGTTTTTTCTCTTGCTTTAGTTCACAGTCAATATATAATATTATAATAATAACAATAGTATAATAAAAATAAATAATGATGCGTATAGAAAAATGCAGATTTTTTTTGTAAAGGGCGAGCTCGACTTTGCAGACTTTTTTGCATTCGCAACAAGTGAACTATTCTGCTATGTATTCTAAAAGTTTAAACATTCGAATAAACTAGCTTTAACTAATTTGGCATGACATAACCTCAAAAAAAGAAAAACTAATTACAGCGTGTGTCTAAATTTATAAACATTCAGTGCCTCTTAGGCGTGCGTAAGGGGGTTTAATTCAATGTAATGCCGAAGAATTGCTTTTGCATGCTTCTCTCCAGAACTATTCCCCAAGAAAATGTAACTCAAATTTTCTTTTTCGAATAAGTTTCGAACTTTACAGTCTCCTTTTAGAGATCTATTTAAGAGGATTGTTCGATTTTTATAAGATCACAACTTTATAGGTGAAATCATAAAATTTTCCTGCAAACATTATAAAGGCTGCAGATACGTATTTTTTAGACCAAGGAGTACATTACGTTCAAAATCCATCCTAAGAGACTCCTTTCTTCTCTATCAACTTATTGTGTGGAATTTTTTTTTTTTTAACGATTTTAGATAAAGTAAAACAAAGAGTTATGCCCCCTCGCGATATTTCAATATCGGATACTTTGGAAACTGTTGAAGGCATTAAGCCGGAAACATCTAAACAAACTGGCGTTTTATTCGAAGGTGATGCGGATACAGAAGATTGTGCCCTATCAGTCGATGTTACCCAATTGAAAAAAGCTGAAAACCGTAAATTGGAGCTAGTCTGGCGTAATATAATATTATTTAGCTATGTACATGTAGCTGCTTTATACGGCGCCTATTTATTTCTATTTCAAGCCAAATGGGCCACGGTATTCTTTTGTACGTATAAATAAACAAATCTTGGAAACGTATATTCATTACATTTTCATATTTTTTTTACAATTACAGCAATTTTCCTGTATTCGATTGGGGTTTTAGGTGTAACAGCTGGCGCTCATAGGTTATGGGCACATCGCTCATATAAAGCGAAATGGCCGTTGCGATTGCTTTTGATTATTTTTAACACGTGTGCCTTTCAAGATGCTGCTTTTCACTGGGTTCGTGATCATCGCGTGCATCATAAATTTTCTGAAACCGATGCTGACCCTCACAATGCTACGCGCGGTTTCTTCTTCTCTCATGTCGGTTGGTTACTTTGTAAAAAGCATCCGGACGTAGTTGCCAAAGGCAAAAGTCTAGACTTGTCTGATTTATATGCGGATCCTATAATAATGTTCCAAAGAAAGTAATTTATTGTTATTGCGACTAATATGAAAAAAATATGATATGATATTAATTTGACAACTTGACTACTTACAGACACTACTACGTATTGATGCCTTTAGCTTGCTTCATATTGCCGACGGTAATACCTATGTATATGTGGAACGAAAGTTTCATTAATTCTTGGTTGGTACCAACATTATTTCGATGGTGTTTCCTCTTAAACGCTACCTGGTGTGTAAACAGCGCAGCTCATAAATTCGGTGGACGGCCTTACGATAAGTAAATAGTGCAATATTCCGTCACGCATTACCATTTACTCAATATATTTCTAACAGGAATATTAACCCGTCTGAAAATGTGGGAGTGACAGTTTTTACTTTCGGTGAAGGCTGGCATAATTACCACCATGTATTCCCCTGGGATTATAAAACTGGTGAATGGGGTAATTACTCACTGAACTTAACCACAGCATTTATCGACTTCTTCGCTAAGATCGGGTTGGCGTATGATCTTAAATCAGTTACTCCCAACATTATAGAGAAACGAGTAAAACGTACGGGTGATGGAACGCACGCTACGTGGGGCTGGGGTGATAAAGACCTTAGCACGGAGGATAAAGAAAATGTTATAGTCTCAAATAAGAAAAATCATTAGCTTTTCATGAAACAAACTTCGGGTGTATTTCAAAATTATGCTTTCTATGTAATTTTTATTTAATTAGTGAGTAAAATTAAAAAGAAAGATTTACTGATAAGAAAATATCTTTTTTTCTTTTTTTTTGATTTGTTAGGAAATGGATTGGACCAGTTAAGTTAATATTAGATCCATAATTCAGAAACGTAGTTGAAAGCGATTGATGAGAACTTTGAGCATAGGTAGAGACTGAAGTGACAGAGTGTTCGCTATGAGAAGCTCTGTTCCGCTGTCAACCCACAAATCCCCGTACTTCGTAATGTACAGTCAAAAATCCGGCTAGAAATGCCGACAAAAGAAAAATGTATAGGCGATTCGTGATTGTAAAAGAAATTATAAATGCAAAATTAGAACGAAAAATCAGCTGATTTGATAAAGTCAGTCAGTTGCTTCAAATGCCTAAAGTTACCAGCACGAAAAATTTCATAGAAATTGTTATACAAGTTAAATATACTGAAAGACTGTCTAAGGATGTCAAACCTCCTGCACTCAAAAATAAGGTACTCGGCAGACTCAGTAATATTGCATTCTTCACAGATATCAGTGGAGGAGACTTTGATCATTTTAAAATAAACCTTATAAGTGTGATTACTCATACGGCGGTGAAGAACTTTAAATTCCCATGTTGTAACTTTTCCTTTAGGTAGAAATGTGGTTTTAAAAAAAGGGTAAGTTTTGTAGAAAAGCCGGTCACTTTTTTCTCTAGCTACGACATGATACTCATCTTTCCATTCTTTTACGATAAGTTTTTTGACTAACAAAAGAGCTTCGCTGGGGGGGTAGGTTATGGACAAAACCGTACCATCAAACCCAGCTTGATGAGCATGGAAGCCAGCTTTTTCATTGATACTAAGATCGCTGTGATCTGGGATCCAGATGATGTGGTATTTTTCAATGCCTGGATCTTTTAAAAGGTTGTAGATATCGAAGGCATACGTATTGAATGGGTCTTTGTTCTTGATGAAAGTCAAAGCAGATTTGCTGTCAGAGAAAACTACAAATTTTTCCAGCTTAATTTCAGATGCATGGAGGATTGCTTGTCTGATGGCCAGAAGTTCAATGAAAAGAGATGATAGTTCTTGTAGAACTTTGAATATTCCTAAAAGTAAGTTTGGGTATTCAATAATGAAAAACTAGAGATGTCCGAATTGACAGATCCATCCGTTGCGTATATTTTGAAGTTATTTTCGACGAAGTGGTTAAGTTTTTGCAGACAAGCGATTCGAAGACAAGACCCTGATCGATTTTTTTTTGAGTTGGTGATCGAATTAAGTAAGTTTAATTCCACTACGCATTTATCATGAATGATATTATTCCAAGAGGGTAATGATTTAACTTTATTGAAGATGTTACTGAATTTTTTGAAGCAGTTAGAGTAACTACTGATGACGTGATTGTGTTTGGAAGCGACTTCGTCAAAGAAGGCAGGTTTAAAGATTTTTACCTTGAGAAGTTTTTTTGCAGTTACAAGATAAATTCTCTTAGCAACAGGGAGTTCATAAGAGATGGAACGTAAAATTGATGTTGGTGTTGAGGAGGATAAACCGGTACAACGTCTTAGGATTGAGTGTTGAAAGGTTTGTATTTTTTTTAATGTATACGCAGCAGCATTGCACGATGTAGAGTAAGAATATTCAATTTTGGATCTAACAATAGATTTGTAAACGTTTAAAGCTTTCCTAGGTGGAAGTCCGGTGTGAATGTTGGTCAGAAGTTTGATGACAGAGATAATGAGAAAATCGTCAGCATATTGAAATAAATGGGTAGTATTGTCCTGTAATCGATGTAAGCCGGCTGTGTATAGATTGAAAAGAACTGGGCTGAGACAGCTACCTTGAGGTAAACCTCCACAGACTTCGACTGTATCTGAATCTAATCCGGGTATTTTTTTAAAGCCTTTAAAGAATAAGCGTATAACCTATGGTGCCTTTAGAGAATAAGCGTATATATGTTCTCAATAATTTGTAAAAATGCCAACCATGTGAGAATAAGCGTCCACACAATCAATAATTTTGCATGTATTTGTATAAAATTGGCGCCTTTAAAGAATAAGCGTATAAAATTGGTGCCTTTAGAGAATAAGCACATAAACAGAAATTATTTATTTTTGTAATAGAATTATAATTGCGGATTGGTAAAAAAACGTGGAACAATTCAGAATGATAGATAAAATTGGATTCGGGATCTCCAATCCATAACCAAAAATTTTGATTTGTTTTACCATGTACCCGAACATCCCAAACAAAGTCTGGCCATATATTGATTTTAATACGTAACACTGTACGCATTATGGGCTGCAAAGTGGCATCAACATTGAGCATGGGCAATTCTTTGACTGCACGTAAGACCTGCTCAGCATATTTACTACTACTTAATATCTCCTTTAGCTCATTAGACCTATTTCACGAAGTGTGTATAAACTAACACCTCTGGTTTCTAATTTATCTATAGTCTCGATATTGATATGCGAGAACTGACGCATAGGACTCTCGAAATCCCACTGTTGTCGTTCAAACATTTTGCACACTTGTAATATACACCCTGCAAGTATCGAATCATTATTACTCAAGACAATGGAGCATAAAGCGCGCGCAATGCGTGTTATATTTTGCCCGATGTACGACATATCAGAGACTAGAGAGAACAATTTTGGGCTTGCGACATCATTACAAATATATCACTTTCGTTCATAAACGGTTTTATAAATTCATTAAATATTTCTACCGTATCGTATTTTATATAATAAAGCGAAGCTATGCGACCCAAATCTGTGACATTAAAATCGAGAGTTCGCTGATTGAAACGTATCATAGGTGCTTTATCCAAACGCATGGCAGCGCCTACAATTAAGTTCAATTGCTTAGATGCGAGCTTTACTCAAACGCACCATTTTACCAAGACGTTAATCTACCTCAATTCGAAACGACGAAACAAACTTGCTTATTTCTTCTGTAAACCTTAACAAAAATACTCGTTTATTTAGCATATGTTCGCGAGGAAAGAAAGTTGAGAACCCAATGCCTACTTTGTGTCGGGATTTTAAAATCAGATAGAATTTGGTCCAGTTTCACTAAATTAACGCAGTCATTATCTTTATTAATGTCTAAGCAAAGCATAACTTCCTGGTTTCCATTGTTCCAGGTGTTAGTCTTTCTTTAATCATTTGGTTGGTAACTTTTAGAATAACGGGCAAGAGGGATATGGGTCTGAAGTTATTGAATATTTCAAGATCTTTTCCGGGTTTATGAATGGGCACTATTTTAATTGTACGCCAAACAGTGGGAAACGAGTTGGTCATCCAGCGCTCATTTATAGCAGATAGCAGGGTTAGAAGGCTTGGCACGGGAAGGCCCTTTATCATATCATATTTGATTCCGTCATGGCCTGCTGCTGTGGATTTCTTTTTCAACTTAAGGACGTGCATGAGTTCATCAAAGGAGAATGGAGAGATGTTATCCATCCGAGAGTTAAGTAAGGAGGTTTGGAGACCACATGTCGAGGGAACTTGAGCTTTCAGCCATTCTAGGTAGGATTTGTTGTTGCGATCATCCCAAATGGGGTGTTTGTATTTCTTTTTTGTGGTACGATGACCATTTAAAAATTTGCAGAAAGGTTTTGTATTGCTATTTGAGCACAGCTCTTCGACAACAAGGGCACGGTGGCATATTTTGGCTTTTCTAATCGATTTCTTCCATTCTTTTTGGGATAACTTGAAATCATCAAAATTAGAGATATTGGGGTATTTAGAATATTTTTGTTTAGCACCCTGTAATTTACGGAATTGTGAAGTGAGCAGCTCGTTCCACCAAGGTTTTGGTGAGTAGGAATTCGAGATTTGGGTGTCAGATTTGGCGTTAATTATTTCTCGTTGCAATAAGCACTGGATAGACTCGACCTGTGGCTCAAGACATATGTTTATAAGATTAATTAAAAATTTTTTTCCTCGAGATAAAATCATTTATCTTGTAGGAGGTAATAAAGGTGGCACTAAAGAGAATAGGAAAGTGGTGGCTGTTTCCCAGCAAAATTTCTTTTTTGACCTCCCGTTTGAATGTAAGATTGGTTGCGTTAGTGAAAGTGAGATCCAACACGCTGCCACAATTTTTGGTCGTAGAGAGCACATAGGTTGGGGAATTATCATTAACACAATAGAAATTACTGGCTTCAATGATTTCTTGCAATGCTTTGCCTTTATTGTTCGACACGGAGTCACCAAAGCAAGGGTGTCTTGCATTGAAATTTCCTGCAATTATGAAGCTATCGAGCATATCACAGAGGCGATTAAATTCATCCCGGAAAGATTGAATAGGGGTGTTAGGCTTGAAATAGCAAGCAGCAATGACATTATTAGGTTTTAGGCAAAAGGTTTTGACTATAACAATGTCAGCAGCTGATTTAAAGGAGATTTGTTTGGAGGAGATGCCTTTCCTGGCAAGGATGGCAACACCTCCATAGCCGTCACTTCTACATTTATAAGCGGAGTTGTAATTTGAGATTTTGCGATCGGAAATTTTCCAGAGAATGGGCATTACGTCTGAAGCTTTTTATGTTATACTATAGGAAAGACGTCTTGAGAAATGTTAAAGCATGATAGGGCCGACCCGGATGTACCTTGTTTTAAAAGATCAAATTTTGATTTAAGGGAACTTATTTCTCTTTGGATGGTTTTAAGCATATCTTCATGAGAAGTGATGGATAGAATCTTGAAAATCTTTTCCAGAATTATCTCCATTTCATTGGATATATGATAATTGATGAGAGTATGCTTTTCAGGAGGTAGAGGAGGTTTTTTGGGCTCCTGCGACTTGGTACTGTAAGTCGAGGGCGTCTTGAGAGACATTCTATACAAGGGTTTGGGAATACCCGTTTTTTTTTACAACTGCATTGAAATTTTTGTTAACTAAAATATTATTTGTATCAATAGTAGGGTCTCTGATGTTATTGGAAGCAGTGCTGTCCATCATTGCTGGGAAGTTTACGTCATAGTTATCGAGTAAATTGTATGGGTTGTTAGAGAATTTTTCTTTGTATTCTCTAAAAGATAAGTTCTGGATGGTTAAAATTTT